GGAGGGTAGAAGGAAACAAAAAGGAATGAAAGGAAAAGGAGAGGAGATCATGCCTAATTGATATGGTTTTTACTGAAGGTAAAGGGCAAAGCTATATGTATTTTACCTATTAGTTATTTATTAACTTCTCTGAGACTTAAATTAATTCATATATACAATTATCTGTCCCTGGTAAACACACAGGGTTAACATGCAGGTCAAATGTGACAGCATATACACAAAATTTAGAAAATTGTCACGTTTGCACAAGTATGTTGATGTGAGTTGCTGTTAAGTCAATTCTGATGCATGGTGACCCCATGTGTGTGTGCAGAGCAGAAATACTCCATAGGGTTCTCAAGCTCTGACCTTTCTGAAGCAGACTGCCAGGCCTATCTTTCAAGGCACCTCTGGATATGGTCAAATGGCCAATTAATACCAGCTCTGCAAGACAGCTCACCACTAAGATGTATAAATCCCATTTCACCAATCAGTTGAATGAAGAGAAGAATCCTAAAAATCTAGATGTATTCCAAAAAGTAAAATTTCATTTGTTCTAAAATATTTTTATCCTAGAAGAACCCATTTTCTTCTATTTTCAGTTTTAAAGCACAAGAGCCCCCTCAAAGATAAAATCTTATAGGGAATCTGAAAATAAAAGCAGACTTGCTATGCTTTTGAGCCTCATTTTCTCAAGGCTTTCTCCAGCCCTACAGCCCCTAGGAGATCTACTCTCACTCTAGAGAAACAGGTAGGACAGTGGTACCTAAACTTGCCTACATATCAAAACACATCACACTGTGCTGCGTTAGAAGGTCCTCTAAGGTACGGTCATAAAGTGTAAAAAAAAAAAAGGTGCTAGATTCAAGCTGTCTGTGTGTTCCATGAGAGTCTAGTTCAGGGTTGATTTCATGCCTCAGTTTCCTCATCTTTAAAATGGAGAGTGATATTGACATTTCAAGGTTGCTACGAAGGATAAATGACCAACACACACAACACACATACACACACTCAAACTCACACAAAACATACAGTTAGGGCTGAAGACCATGAGTCTCCAGTGACAGGAATGAGATAAAATATGTGATAATGTCACATAATAGCCCGCTGTAAGGATGAAGAACAGGAAGTTGTATGTGTAATAATGTATGTACAGCATATTGACCTATAAACTTCAAAACATCCATAATTTATTTTGCTTGTATTTATATAAATTAAACTGTAGTGAAGTCTTATCGAACTAATGATAAACATTTATTCAAATTGAAAATCAGAAAACATGAATAGCTTATTGTTCTTGTTTTTTTTTTTTTTCTTTGAAAGAAAGCTATGTTACTGGCTAATCTGCTAAAGCATGATCACAATTAAAAAATAATTCAATAATTTTAGGTAACTAACTCTGTATTGACGTATCATAAATAGAAAACCTTGAACTAATTCAAGTTAAAAAATAGCCAAGTTCTCTCAAGCTCAGTAAGATAATCTCAATTAAATTATTTGATATCTTCACTTGCTTAAGTGAAGCAAACTGTTTTTGAGGACATTTTCCAAAGTCACTCCTGATGCTAAGTATCTATCTGGTCTTATATAAATCATCCATAATTACAGCAAAAATAAAATTAGTATTCATAAGGTAAGATATAATCCTGAATTACCACAGAAAGAGCAGGTGGAAGTACATTTTGTAACAAGTAATTTATAATGAAAAATAACTAGGATTGTTAATATAGTTAACTGAGATTTTCCATTACTAAAATATATTTTAATGCCTTATGTAAGGTACTTGAAAACTTTTGGAACAGTTTAAAAGAAAGTTTTTTCTAGGATTGCTAAAATTACAATCTTAAATATACAATATATATATCTAGTCTGAGATCTAGTCAATATGAATAAAAGTTAATTCACTGTGTTCTATTTTTTATGCAAGGACACACTCATTGTGTGCTACTGAAAAACTGAAGTTGTAAATGTACAAATCACAAGACTTTTTTAATATCCAAAAACAAATAAATAAATGTAAAGAGTAAAACTGAAATTTCCTTCCAGGAGAAAAAGCTCTAAATGCTTTCATATGAAGTTAAGCTTACATAAAAACATTAAAGCAGCAATGAATATTTGGTATTTTCCTGTTGGTGCAAAATAACCAAAAAGGTAAAACACTTTAACAAAACAAAATTATTGTCCCTTATTCATTTTCTTCTTTGAAAATATTTGGGATTAGCAAAAATAATTTGAAGATATATTTTTGGACTCGTTAATATAATTTTGTAATCTGTAAATATTTTCTATGCTTAAACTTTTAGAAATTGTAGAATTTTGCATAATTTTGCATGATGCTACCATAAAAAGACTAGTAAATACAGAAATGTAAATAACTAAAATTTACCAGAGTGTATTTATGATTAATTGGTTGGTGTCTTCTTCCTTTTTTCCCATACCAGAGACGAGACATTTCCTTTCCTGGGTAAATTAAGTTTCATCAAATAATGTAAGAACTGTTTTTAAAAGCATTCTTCCTCTGTCAAAGATAAATTTCCAGCACAAGAGCACTACTACAGTGACCGAACAGTTTGCTAGAGACAAAGATTTGATTGACAAGTCAGAGAGCTAATCACTAAGTAGTATCCATACAAAAGCCAGTCCTGAGTGGAGAACGCAAAGCTAGGGAGGGAGAAGAGGGATTCCCATGCTTGAGTTTGGTTGCACGGCACCCAAATGTGCAAAGAAAGGGCTCAAAAGTTTAAAGACACAGAACAGGTATTTCCAAACACCAATACATTAAGAAATACACAAAAGTAATTTAGTTTCATATAAAAAAGTAGTAAGAATGGTTTTTGGAGTGCCTTTTGAAGTAGACAAATGATTTCAATTAATTTGTTTACTCAGTCGTAAGATTCTGTTCTTTATTTACATTTAAGAATCCTATAAAATCTCATCTTTCATGTGAACATTTTTTAAGCAATAGGATGTCCAATGAGGGCCCTCTGACCCTGAGATTACACAATTATATATATTAACTATATAAAAACCAATCCAATCTATTACAAATAAAATTTATATAAATACTCAAAGTGATCTGAAAACTCCTTTGTTTGTTACACATTCATTTTAAGCTGCATTTTCTAACAACTAATTTCTCAAAAAAGTACATATATTCATTATACTTATGTATATGTTACTAACCATAAGTTATACAAATCTAACCAGGAAATGCTTTTGTACAGGCACCCATCTTTGATCACAGGGACTACTGTTAGATGCCATTGGTCAATTCTGATCTATAGTGACCTCATGTGGCAGAGCAGATCTGCCCCACAGGGTTTCCTATGCTGTAATCGTTACAGAAGCAGTTCGCCACGTCTTTCTCCTGTGGAGTGGCTGGGTGGGTTTGATCTGCCAACCTTTTGGTTAACAGCCAAACACTTAACCATCATGCAACTAGGGCTCCTTGATGGAAGCTTGTTGTTGTGTGTCACTGAGTTGATTCCATATACTCATAGTGACTAAATATATATATGTTTGTGTATGTGTGGTGTACATCTCGCATGGACTATTATCTGTTAATGAATGATAAAATTAAGTAATCAAATTATTAATCTTAAATACAGATTAGAGGTTTTTATTTTGTTTTTTAAAACATATATAATCACGCATGTGGCCACCATCCAGATTAAGATAAAGAACATCTCCAGATCTCTATAAGGTTATCTCCTGTCCCTCTGCCACTATATTGGCCCCAGAAAGCACTAGTCTGGCAGACTTTCAACTTGTTTTGCTGTTTTGAACTTCATGTAAATGGTATTATATAGTGTATACTATTTTGTGTTGGCCTTCTTTAATTGAATGTACTATCTGTGATATTTGTCCATGTTGTTGCCTGTACAAGTAGATATTTTTTCTATATTGATATGTAGTAAATTTTATGAATACATCAACATTTATTCATCCATTCTCCTGCTGACAGGAATTCAAGTTGTTTCCAGTTTTCAGCTGTGGTGAATAAAACTGGTATGAAAAGTACTGATGTTGGCTTAAGTATTAAATAAACCTGAAATTTAATAGGTACTCAATAAATGTTACCTCTCTCCCTGTTTTCTTTCCATTAGAGATACAGTATAAACAGATGCCATATATACTGTACCGCATGGAATCAGACACATTCAAAATCAGTTCACATTGCAAACAAAAGACATCCCATGTATACTTTTAATCACTATACATGTTAAGTTCATGCATAATACATTATATAAACAACCACAAACATTAACACCAAAAGCAGGTAACAAAATTTAATCCCACTTATTATCACATTTTAGCATCTGCTCTATATTTTTGATGTTTCAAGATGAGATTAATCCAGGCAACAACAACAACCCGAATCAGATATTGTCATCCTACCAATCCTATCTAACAGCCAAAACATGTAAAGCTTTATATATAATCTTCAAAGATAAATCTAAGAAGGCTTAAAAAAAAGTTGGTTTATGTTAATTTGACCATTTACACAAGTTCAGCAAGTTGAGCACATATAATTTTTACTACATTGTAAAACTGCCATTAGCTAATTTCTGTAACATTATTGCTAAAATCACATCAAGATAATGCTTGGGTCTTGAACTTAGAAAAGGAGTGCTAACAGTGCATGGATGTGTTAATGACTGGTGTACCTCCTCCATGCAGGAGATACATATAATTGAAAAGAATCAGAAATACAATGTTTTATGAAAATTAGCATTAACAGTGATTAATATTATTTTCTTGACAAAATGTTACTCTTTGCTAAATATTCTGAAGTACACATAATGTAAGTCTTTTTATTACCACCAGCACAATGACAGTATTAACCAAAATTACTAAAATTGATTAAATAAGCACAAGTATATACCTAGGCAATGAACCTGAATCTTTAAAAAAAAGTATTCTTTTAAGCAAAGATCACTTGCACTTGACAGTCTTATCCTAAAGCTATAAATGCATACAAAGTAAAAAGATGAAAGAAATCTTGCTATTTCTCTCTTTACCTCCCATTCTCTGGCTGCTGCTTCATTAGTAGAATCCTCATTTGTTTCAGGCTCTTCAATCTTCTTTACTACTATAAATCCAGGTTCTTTAGTATATTCACCAGTATCTTCTGCATATATTTCTGGACTCCACTGAATGAAGAAGGCATACAAGTGGTCTGTCCTGTTAGAGCAAGTGACTATTAATAACAGACTATCAATAAAAGACAATTTTAATTGTCTGTATTCTACTATTCTGTATTGTTAGCTAGAATTACAAAATTGTTGGTAAGTATCTTGATAAAACGTGAAGACATTTTTAAACATTTTCTTTTGTTGTTGTTGAGAACATACACAGCAAAATATTTACTAATTCAACAGTTTCTAGGTGTACAATTCAGTGGCACTGATCACATTCTTTGAGTTGTGCAACCATTCTCACCACCACCCCCTTTTCTGAGTTGTTCCTCCTTCTTCAACATAAACTCACTGCCCCCCTAAAGTTCTTATCTAATCTTTCAAGTTGCTGTTACCATTTTGATCCCTTACAGATAGTTCTTAAGAGTATGACGCTCAATGCAGACACTTTTCATTAGTTAAGCTAAATAACTGTTTTTAGGAATATTGCAGGGGATATTTTTGGTTTGTTTTATAGATTATCTCAGGGCAATACTTTCAGGAGTTCATCTAGATCCCTTGGCTCCAGAAAGTATGGAATCCATGAGAATCTGAAATTCTATTCTTTATGTTCACCCTTTTGATCAGGATTCTTCTACAGAATATTTGATCAAAATGTTCAGAAATGGTAGCTGGTCACCATCCAGTTCACCCAGTCTCATGACAGAAGAACTAGTTGTTCATGGAGGCAATTAGCTCCATATTCTCCTTCTGTTTTTGACTCTCCTTCTTCCTGTATGCTCCATGCAAATAGTGACCAATTGCTGTGCTATGGATGGCTGCTTGTAAGCTCTTAACACCTCAGGTACCACACAATGAAGTAGGAGGTAGAATAGAAGTACTAAATACACTATTAGGCCAATAAACTATGATGACCCATGACATCATGACCCTAAACCTCCAATTCAAGAAATCAAATACCATGAGGTTTTTGGCTTAACATAAGCTGCCTCAACAGCTACTTTGTGTGTGTGTGTGTGTGTGTATGTGTGTGTGTGATTGTTGTAAATGTATCTATCACACAACTTTTGCCAGTTCATTTTTTTTACAGGTATATAACTTATTGACAGTAATTACAATAACTGGCTGTGCAACCCTACCCTTAATCAATGCAATTTTCCTCACTGTTAACCCTCCCTTTCCTCTTTCCTCCTGCTCCTGATAACCACTAGTAAGTTTTGATCTCAATACATTTGCCTTTTTCTTATCTTTATAAATGAGGTCATACAATAAACTTAAAGATTTAGACTATGCAGAAAAAATACTGCTTTATAAAGTCCACTATCAGGAAGACATTAAATTTATTTGACTGTGTTCTGATGAGTTGGTCTGAGAGAATTATAGTAAGATTTTTCTTGGCATGCTTTTGACTGTTTCAAGTGCTGTCCATGGTCATGCTTTTCCTCATTAGAACCTAGTGATGGGAAGGAAAATTGAACTACAACTTTGACCTCATTTACACAATGATTTAATAATATAAAGTATAGGGAAGCAAACTACTAGTTGTATATTTTGAAACCTGGGCATTGCGTAAATTGTTTCCAAGTTAATGTAAATCTATGTGCTCAATTTTTGAATCAATGATACCAGGAACATATAGTGAATTACTGGTTCATGGATAGTTGATCTAATCTTTTTTTTTTTTTTTTAAAAAGGCCAAAGGTTATAAACATTTTTAATATTCTTTTTTTTTTTTTTATTTTGGGGGAAGATTTACAGAGCAAATTCACTTTCCATACAGCAGTTCGCATATACTTTGTCTCATGTCATTGACCACAGTTTACCACAATGTAACAGCTCCCCTCCCACTTCCTCCCCATAGTTACCTCTTCCCAGTGTCCATCCCTCCATACTCTCCTGCCCCCTGAACTGTCTCCCTATGCATAAGGAGCCCTTCCTTCTCCCATGATTGTTCTCTCCAGGGTGTGTGTCTACTTGAGGTAAATGTTTAACTCACATGCCTGTACTTTGTTTGGCTGGAAACCACAGGTATGGGTTTGATCTAATCTTCTAAATTCTCTTCTGTCTCTTCTCAAGCTTTGGGTGACTACAGTGAAGCCTATGTTTGTTATACTGATAAATATATCTAGGGTCATGCAGACATTTCAAATACTTGTGTTTAGTTGACTTTTATTAGCGTGAATAATTGAAAATTGATTATAAATAACTCAGCTAAAATATACTAGTCAATAACTAATAATGATTCTGTAAATTACATTTCCAATCTACTGATTTAAAAAAATTATCATCCTTTATGTGATAGCTAACTTATTAAAATAGTGTTATTTTTCAGGTGGTTTGTCACTACCAAAACAGCAATATTTTAAGTGTGCACATAAAGTTCAGAATCCTAATTAATTATAATGAATACAAGCCAAAGTATAGGGACAGTGTTAAAATATATAAATCCCTGTAAAAATTAAAATAAAGCCAACAGTGGTGAGAAAATATACCCTTATGTTAGTTTTGAAGATACAATATTGTCAGTCACACTTTTCACTGCAGCATCTCCACGTCACTGGCAAATCTGAATTCTGGTCAAAGTAAAATTATTTTTAATTACTTGACTTTTTTCAAGTATTCATGAATTATGCAAATCATACCATACTTAACTTTTTAATTGCTCAAATACATTTGTTGAATGCATGCACTGTACTATACATTTTCTCTGGAGCACAGAAAGAGCTTTTTTCATTATATGCCTTCAAACTGAGATACACAGGCTTTCTAAGGGAATTAAGATCTGTATCTTCAACTTCCATATGCTACTCTTTGCTCATATTTATCTGCCTGAGAACAGTATGGTCAAGATACCTTAAAGATTCTCTGTTCTGTTTTCTACTAAAGTACTTCTACTGCATGAAAGCAGGACACATTCAGAATTTGGTGCATGCCTTTAAAGTATAAAAATTCCCAGGCTGCCAAAGGTTGGTGTTAAAAAAGTCAATGATTCTAAAGACTGGGAAATATGTCCCCCTGCCTATCAGGTGGTTTATAATTCACTGATTTCCACACACCTGAAGGAGTTCCTAATAGAGTTGTTCACTGATATTCACTAAAAAGAATTCTTGATGAAAGATGATTTAGTGATTTTTGAGTATAAATAGAAACATGCTTAAACATGTTTGGAATACAAACAGAAACTTACTAAGTTTAAATTAAACTTAACAAACTAAGTTATAACATTATAAGAAAATGCTTTCAACCATTTACGTTTTTATGTGAACAAAGCTTATCAGTACTTATAAGAAAAAAGGGAGAGGAGAAATGATGCTGAATTCCATCTCATACTTTCAGTAAGTAATATTCACCAATGGATATATAAACTAATTGAAGGGGAAAGGCCCATCTATCTCATTAAGACATGCATTTCCTATGAAATTTTACTGTTCATGTGTAAGAATTATGATATATGTTTCTCTGATCAACTGTGTATTAATAATAGCAGTGATAAAATAAAATCTAATTCTAGATGTAGTTAACACCTGCAACCATGATTGCTGAGAGACAGTTTTCCATGGATCTCTTGACTTTCTGTGTATTATGTGAGCAAAGGCATTGAACACCTTGGTTCACCACTGTCTTTTGAAGTGTGTTAGCACAGGAAACAGTCTTGGAAAGTAGAAAGAGTATGTCTTACTGGAGCAAAGGGCAAGTCTGTTTACTGCCAATTATAAAAGATCAAGGTTCTCTAAGCTTAGGGTTCGTGTTCTGAAATACAACTCATGGTATACACAAGTGTCACCCAGTTTTTGTCATATCGCCCTGGGGAAAGAAGAGCTCCAAGAACTCATAAAAACGCTAGTATTTTGGCTACTGCTATTGCCATGATTCTTGTCACTTTCTGCCAGCATCCACAGAACTGTCACAGGCTAACTTGTTAGTTTATAAGCTGGGTAAGGGAGGGTAAAATCTTAGACCCTTTATTATTTTGACAATAGTCACAGAAAATGGGAAAATAAATGTATTTTCAGTATATATGTACATGTGTCTGTGTATGTAAATGTATATGCTTGTATAATTTGTTGCAAAGAAATACAGTAGGGGATAAAAATATAGTATCTTTTCATAAAATTCTTGAGGAAGGATAATGGAAATACAAGTTCAAAGTGAAAAAGTAATGATGCAAAATCTAAGTATTAAAGAAGAGTGAATCCAAGTAGTTTTATATGGATAATGGTAGGGGGAAATTGTAATGGTGTTTAGATTCCATTTGATATATTTAAAAGATTAATATAAACCATTAAAAAAAAAAAAAAAAAAACCAAACTCACTGCCGTTGAATCAATTCTGACTCATAGCTACCCCTTCTTGAGTTTCCTAGACAGTATCTAGACAGAGTAGATTGCCCAGTCTTCCTTCCCAGGAGTGGCATTATAACTTTAAATTCCAATATTTACAATACAGTGGCAACAACATGATTTGTAACTAATAAGCTTATGATAACAAATTTTATTGTGCAGGGCAATACACAAACAAAAATAGTTTGAAGACCATATTCTTTCAGTGCCTAAGTTAGTGCCATGTATATAACAGACATTCAATAACTTTTGAGAAAATTTAAAACATGGATTATAAATCTTTATCTGCCTTGAGGGAGGAACCATATCAATTAACATCTTGATGAATTTTCAGACTCTAAGACCTTCTAACTTTCTTTACTAGTAAAATTGTTACACGGCCACTCTTTTTGCATCAAACCAAAAAGGAAGTACAATTAAAAATGGGATAAGTTAAAGAGTATAGAATAGGAGCTAAATGATTTCTAATAGATTTAACGTGAGGTTTTAATCATAAACTATATGCTTCAAAAGTACTCAGCCACTGGTGGAAAGTAATAATACAAATAATTCTAATTTAAGGAATCTCAATAATGTTTTAAATTTTTCTTTCTTTCTTTTCTTTACCTCTCTTGTGGCACAGCAAACCAATATTCATGTTTCTTATCTCTCTGGGCATATTGTTGCATTGTTGCACTTGCTTGAGATACAAATGTTTTCCTCATTGGTTTTCCAACTCTGAGACATAAGAATTTATGTAATCGATGCCTTCTCTTTTCTTTTAATAGTGCTGAACCTAGAATTGAGAAGTAAACAGAGTTTACTTAATTCTCATATGAAATATAAAAAAAAAAACAACTAATATTACTGTCATTCAATCAATTCTGACTCATAGCAACTCTCAATGGGTTTGCTTCCAAGACTGTAAATCTTCATGGAAGTAGACTGCCCCATCTTCCTTCCATGAAGTGGCTGGTTTGAACTGCTGACCAACTTAGCAGCCTTATTTACTATGCTACCAGAGCTCCTTCAATTCTCATATAACATGCTTAAATAATTTGGATCAGGTAATGTTTTATCTCTGATGAATTCTCTTGTTGTTGTTGTTATGTGCCATCAAGTCGGACCTGACTCATAGTGACCCCTCCTTGAGTTTCCAAGGCGTTATCTCTACGGAAGTAGATTGTCCAACCTTCCTTCCGAGGAGTGGCTGGATTTGAGCTGCCAGCCTTCTGGTTAGCAGTCAAGTGAATTCTTTTAAGTAATGGAATTTTATTTCCATCATAGGCAAAGCCCCAGGTACAATTAAGACTAAGATTAACAAAAGAGCCAACTTACTGAGCTGAAATTATATTGAGGAATATTAAAAAAAAAATGTAAAGGATTCTGAAATTTTTTTACATTAAATCTGCTATCTCTAACAATCATATTAAAATAACTTACAAATTTTCTACAAACTTATTTAGATGCCATTCCAAAAAGTTGATGGAGACTGCAGAAAATTTTATATAGACACACATTACTTCATAAGGTATCTACAGACATGCTGTTGTTAGGGGCTGACTCACAGCACAATGTTATGAATAACAAAATGAAATGGCGTCCAGTCCTGTGCCATCTATCTATATAATAAGATGTGATAAAACTGACAATTCTCTAGATTCAGCTATTTGTATTGACAGTTTATTAAATCTGCATTATCTCTAACTCTTCCAACACTACATGCTGACATAAAGTATATTAAGGGTTTAACAATGTGTTTGAATTCAGGAATCTGGACATTAACTAGCCTACAAAGATGGCAAAATGTGGAGGACAGAACACTTAAGAGATCTGGGTACCAGTCATGAATTTGTTTCTGTGTAACAGAGTGCAAGGTACATAATCTATCTGAGTCCCAGCATTTGCATATGGTAAAAAGAGGGAAATTTTACCATTATTCCCACAGTTTTATTCAACAGCTTTATATTTATTCCAGTTTTATGCCATTCCAGTTTTAGGACATTCCAAAGTCACTAATGTTCAGAACCACCAGTTGTCAGTCTGCCATACAATGGTGGCTTGCATGTTGCTGTAAGATTGGAGGCTATGCTACTGGTATTCAAGTACCAGCAGGGTTGCCCATGGTGGACAGATTTCAGCAAAGCTTCCAGACTAAGACATACTCAGAAAAAAGAAGGGGCCATTCACTTCTCAAAGAATTGGCTAGTGAAAACCTTATGAACAGCAGTGAAACACTATCTGATATATTACGGAAAACTTTATGAACAACTCTGAAACACTGTGCAACACTGTGCCAGAAGATAAGCCCCTCAGGTCAAAAGACACTCAAAATACAACTTGGGAAGAGCTGCCGCCTCAGAGTAGAGTCAACCTTGATGATGTGGATGGAGTAAAGTTTTCGAAACCTCTATTTGCTGATGTGGCATGACTCAAAATGAGAAGAAACAGCTGCAAATATCCATTAATAATCAGAACATGGAACATACGAAGTATGAATATAGTAAAACTGGATGCTGTCAGAAATGAAATGGAATACATAAAAATTGATATGCTACGCATTAGTGTGGAGCTCTGGTAGCATAGTGCCTAAGGCACTTGAGTGCTAACCAGAAGCCTGGTGGTTCAAACTCACCAGCCACTCCTCAGAAGGAAGGTTGGGCAATCTACTTCCATAGTGATACTGCCTCAGAAACCCAAGGAGGTGTTGCTATAAGTCGGGTCTGACTTGATGGCATATAACAACAATAAGGCATTAGAGAGCTAAAATGGACTGCTTTTGCCCATTATGAATTAGACAACCATATGATCTACTATGCTGGGAAAAACAAATTGAAACGGAATGGTGTGACATTCATTGTCACAAAGAATCTTTCAAGATCTATCCTGAAGTACAATGCTGTCAGTGATAGAATTATATCTATACACCTATAGGAAAGACCAGTTAACACTTCTGTTATCCAAATTCATGCACCAAGCACCAAAGCCAAAGACAAAGAAATGGAAGATTTTTACCAACTTCTGAAGACTGAAATTGACCAAACATGCAATCAACATGTGTTGATTATTACTGGTGACTGGAATGAAAACTTGGAGACAAAGAAGAATCATTGGTAGTTAGAAAATGTGGCCTTGGTGCTAGAAATGTTACTGGAGATTGCATGATAGAATTTTGCAAGACCAATGACTTATTCATTGAAAATACTTTTTTCCAACAATACAAATGGCTGCTATACATGTGGACTTCACCAGATGGAGTACACAGGGATCAGATCGACTACATCTGTGCAAAGAGGTGATAGAGAAGCTCAGTATCTATAGCCAAAACAAGGCCTGGAGCTGACTATGGATCAGATCATCAACTACTCATGTGCAAGTTCAAGTTGAAGCTGAAGATAATCAAAATGAGTCCACGAGAGCCAAAATATGAGCCTGATTAAATCCCTCCTGAATTTAGAGACCATCTAAAGAACAGATTTGATGAACTGACCACCAATGACCAAAAAACAAGAACTGTGGGATGACATCAAGAACATCATCCATGAAAAAATGCAAAAGGTCATTAAAAAGACAGGAAAGGAAGAAAAGACCAAAACGGATGTCAGAAGAGACTCTGAAACTTGCTATTGAATGGAGAGCAGCTAACACAAATGGAAGAAATTACAAGATAAAAGAGCTGAACAGAAGATTTCCAAGAGCAGATAGAGAAGACAAAGTCAATTATTGTAACAAAACATGCAAGGACTTGGAGTAAGAAAACCAAAAGGGAAGAACATGCTCAGCATTTCTCAAGCTGAAACAATTGAAGAAAAATTTCAAGCCTTGAGTTGCAATACTGAAAGATTCTATGGGCAAAATATTGAATGATGCAGGAAACATCAAAAGAAGATTGAAGGAATACACACATACACAAAGTCATTGTACCAAAAAGAATATATCAATGTTCATCCATTTCAGGAAGTAGCATATGATCAAGAACCAATGGTACTGAAGGAAGAAGTCTAAGCTGCACCAAAGGAATTGGTGAAAAACAAGGCTCCAGGAATTGATAGAACACCCACTGAAATGTTTCAGCAAACGGATGCTGTGCTGCAGACACTCACTCAGCTATGCGAGGAGATTTGGAAGACAGCTTTCTGGCCAACTGAAGAGATCCATATTTGTACCTATTCCAAAGAAAGATGCTCCCATAGAATGTGGAAATTATCAAACAGTATCACTGATATCACATGCAAGTAAAATCTTACTGAAGATAATTCAAAATGGTTGCAATAGTATATTGACAGAGAACTTCCAGAAATGCAGCGTGGATTCAAAAGAGGACATGGAATGAAGGATATCATTGCTGATGTGAGATGGATCTTGGCTGAAAGCAAAAACACCAGAAATATGTTTACTTGTATATTACTATCTATGCCAAAGCATTCAACTATGTGGATCATAACATATTATGGGTAACATTGAGAAGAATGGGAATTCCAAAACAGTTAATTGTGCTCATGAGGATACCAGGAGGCTGTCATTCAAATAGAACAAGGAGATACTGCATGGTTTAAAATCAGGAGTTTATCAAGGTTGTATCCTTTCACCATCCTTATTCAATCTGTATGTTGTTGTTGTTGTTAGGTGCTATGAGTCATCTCTGACTCAGAGCGACCCTATGTACAGCAGAACGAAACACTGCCTGGTCCTGTGCCAGCCCCACAATCATGGTTATACCTGAGCCCATAGTTGTATCTACTGTGTCAATCCATCTTGATGAGGGCCTTCCCCTTTTTTGCTGATCCTTCACTTTACCAAGCATGTTATCTTTCTCCAGGGAATAGTCCCTTTTGACAACATGACCAAAGTAGGTGAGAAGAAGTCTGGCCATTCTCACTTCCAAGGAGCATTCCAGCTGCATTTGTTCCAGGACAGATTTGTTAGTTTTTTTAGCAGTCCATTGTACTTTCAGAATTCTTTGCCAACACAACCACTCAGAAACATCAACTCTTCTTCAGTCTTCCTTATTCCAGCTCTCACATGCATATGAGGCAATTGAAAATAACATGGCTTGTGTCAGGCACACCTTAGTCTTCAGGGAGGTATCTTTGCTCTTCAGCGCTTGTAAGATGTCTTTTGCAGCAGAGTTGCTCAATGTTGTACATCATCAGATATCTTTACTGCAGCTTCCATTGCTGTTGATTGTAGAATCAAGTAATATGAAATCTTTGATAATTTCAATCTTTTCTCCATTTATTGTGATGCTGCTTATTGGTCCCAGTTGTGAGGATTTTTGTTTTCTTTATATTGAGACGTAATCCACGCTGTAGACTGTAGTCTTCAATCTTCATCTGTAAGTGCTTCAAATTATTCTCACTTTCAGCAAGCAAAGTTGTGTTGCCTGTGTATCACAGGTGGTTTATGAGCCTTCCTTGAATCCTGATGTCACATTCTTCTTCATATAGTCCAGCTTTTCACCTTATTTGCTCAGCATATAGACTGAATAAGTATGGGGAAAGGACATAACCTTGACGCACTCCCTCCCTGAACTTAAACCATGCAGTATCCACTTGCTATGTACGAACGACAGCCTCCTGGTCCATGTACAGGTTCCTCATGAGCACAATTAAGTGTTCTGGAATTCCCATTCTTCTCAATGCTATCCATAACTTGTTATGATCCACACAATCAAATGCTTTTGCAAAGTCAATGAAACACAAGTAAACATCTTTATGGTATTATTTTCTTTCAGCCAAGATCAATCTCATATCAGCAATGATATCCCTAGTTTCACATCCTCTTCTGAACTGCTGC